GGTTCAAAGACAGTAAATACATATCTAGATAGTTCAACACCCACGCAATTTGGTAACTTAACCATTGTAAAAATCTCTAACATTGCTGGGCTTCAGGATATCCTAGACATGTTTCTGTAGTGTTGGCTTGGTTAATTAATGTTATATCGGGGCATCTTGCCATAACATTTGTGTCAGAGCAAAAATAAACATCTAGCTAACGTTATCAAAACATAAACATATTGTGGCAAACTAAAACATTTATGCAAATCATAAATCTAAAGTTAATGCATTAATAACTATTTTAGAATTTACAAGTCTCTACAGAGCCAGCTGGTTAACAATATACAAACAACATGTGACAGCAGATTATAGCTCACTAAAGTAACATTGGAGAGTGGATCCATGACACTATAGATAACATTATTGATTTCCCAAGCTTACTTGCTGATTATGTATCTAAATTTCTTACTTAATGCTGTCTTTCATTGCTGATTGTTCCTCCTTTACTCTTCTTTTTATGTGCGCTGTCACTTTCTACGCCGCATCAAAGACAAACTCACAAGTGTCACACAGGATGTCATGTTTGCATATTATTGTTCGCACACATTCAAAGATGGCTGTGGTCTGAAATCTTTGCACACAGTTCTGTTGCCGGGCAGAATTTTGCAGGGCACCAAGGCCACTGTGGCCTCTGAAGTTGGATTTTCAAAGGGGCATCAAAGCCAGAAAGAGGGGCAATGACGTCCATGGCCGTCGGTGAAATTCCTGCCCTCTCACCCGTGATCTATTAGGTTATTTACGGTACAGGTTTATATTTGACACTGTGGGCACCATCACATGCCAGGCCTTCTGCTGGTTCCTATAGTTATTCCAACCTTCAAAATATGCAATCAAAATATGAAATTTAGAAAAATAAATAAATGAACAAACAGTACAACATCACTAGAAACAAAAAAATCAATGTAATGCTTAATTGGCTCAGATGAAGAAGTGGAGTAACTGTTCTGCTGAGTTTTACCTGTGGAAGTGATTAGAATTGGTTCAGTTTGGAAGTATAAGACTTGGACAAGGATGTTATAAGAAGTAGTTATTAAAATGAGTTTCTAAACATTTCATAACACATTTAAGAAATATAATAGCACTATTTTAACCCATTCACTAAATTACATGTTAAACTGCTTCACCGGAGAAACTAAAGTGCTGACTTATTGTGAACAATAACTTCCATGACTTAGTGACAGCTCTGCTGAGTCTCAGGTCCTGTTGTGTGGTGTGACAGTGACAGACAAAAGTGGCCAGGATCTACAAAAGTCGCCGGTCCAGACAGCCCAAGAACCTGTAAACAAGGACCAGGGTCCGGAGCTTTGGTGTGAAAGCGCCTAATAAGGTGAGTAATGAAACCAACATTTGCAAGCAATTCAAAGAAGGAGGTCATTCCAAACTGAGAACAGCTATGGGCCGCTGGGCTCTGGTCTGTGACAAATGCAGCCCTCCAGAGCATCTAGATGGAAAAGTGCTTTAAAGTCATCAGTTCGGTGACTACATGTTTTTTTTTTAAGCACAAAGTATATTACAGCCCACAGTTGTTAGTCCAAATGATCAGAGCAAATCTGTATTTGTGACCAAACTGACTGGTTTCCTTTAGGTGAAAGATATTATAGCCTGTAAACTGAATTTTGAATATAAAGCTAACATTACTTCTGCTTTTTATTACAGAGTCGGACTGCAATATATGGGAACTGGTTCTTTACAACCCTGATCGTCTAAGCGATGGCTCACTCTTCCAATGAGGAGGTTTGGACGTAACGTTTCAGCATATGATGCATGTTGTTAAGGCCGTAAATACCAGACACTGAAAGACAGGAAAGCTTAAGTTCATAACATGAACAACTATTTTCAGCTGAAGGTTGCTGAATACAGCAGATAGAAAGCACTCTCTCCGCAGTGCTCTTCCTCAGGCTACTTCCTTACCATACCGCACTGCACCAAATGTTACAGACGTATCAGAACAAAATAGCTTAGCAGACAAAAAGCTCACTCTGCAGTGCTCTTACTCAAGCTACAGCAAACATCAGTGAACTAACCTGGTTGAATAAAGGTTTAATAATAATGCAGAAAATAAACATACACATGTGCTTCTTATAGTAATAAAAGAATTACAGCAAGTGAGGTGTCTTCAGTAGTCAAATAAAACGGTGAGCAGGAAACCTGCCTTCTGTTAACGGAAAGGTCAGTGCATGTGTGGGAGTGACCATGTACGGGTTTGTGAGTCTCATGGACTCATCTCCGACATTCTGCAGGCCCAGACCTCGCTCCCCGACCTCTTGCTCGATTATCTGAAGGAGCTCAGTGAAGAAGAGCTGAAGGAGTTTAAATGGAAACTGAGTCACATAAAGTATAAAGAGTTAAAGTCCCTTCCCAGGGGTCAGGTGAAGGACTTGGATAGAACAGACCTCGCCGACAAGATGATAAGTTCCTACAGTGAAGTTGATGCTCTCAATGTCATGCTTGACATCCTGAAGAAGATGAACCTGAATGATCTTGCTCAGAGACTGAATGAAGACCTGCAGAAGGGTAATCATATATTTAACCTTTCTTGTTTTTTTGTCTAAATTGTAACCTCTTTAATCTCTTGAAAAATTAACATATTGTATAGCATTACATGGGAAATGTAATGTTTGTTAGATACTGAAATGAATTTGAAATTCTTCCTTACTTCAGGTCCCCAAGCAGAAAGTCAACTGGGTGACATATTGGAGCAGAGTAAGAGCTGTATGCTATACTGTACATTGACTTGAACCCTGTATATCAGGGCGGCCCATGGCATAAGCAGTACAGGAAAATACCCGGGGCGCCGTCCATTCAAAAGGGTTAGAAAGGGAAGGGGGGAAATTAAAATTTTGACTTTTACTATATTGATTTACTACTATTATACACTATTATTTTGAAATTATAAAAGGGTTATTAGACTAACAATATTTATTGTTATAATATATAACAATATATTTGTTTTGCTCAGCGCCCCCCCCTTCCCCTCCGTATCACACACTGTAGGCGTCTTTAAGTGACATTGATACGATTGATAAGTGTGTGACACGATTAATGGTATCTAATTAAAACAGACACTATCATGTCAGAAAGACCAAAGCCCTCCGGTGCCCAGGGAGGAAAAGGAGGAAGAGGAGAGGAGGGAAAACAGGAAAAAGACAGAGGTAATAATAACTAATCAGAGTGATTACCATGTTACTGTCTGTGGTTTGTGGAGTGTTACTAGCTTACCTTGGATAATTCGGCATTTGCTAATTTAAAAAATAGGTAGAATTAATGTTAGTTACTCCCAACATAAATTCATTAGGGAAAGTTGGAAATACTGTTCAGGTGTTTGGGAACGGGAATAACCTACAGCATCATTTTCAGAAATACACTTTATCTTTAAAGTGTCCTGCTGCACCTGCAGGAACCGTCCACTGTATCTGTCTCAGGATAGTAAACTGTAATAGTCAAATAAAATGCTTTTCTGTTCGCATCCCCCTTTTTAACTAATAGTTTAAAGCCTTTGCATTTGTATTATCGATTAGTCTTATATACATTACAAACTGCATCATCATGTGAGCGACGTGCTCATTGAATGAGGTTTTGTGCATGAATGCCAGCCAGCTGTAATTTCTCTTGCTGTTTACTTTGTGTTTAGAAAGTTATAATCTGGCTTAGGTGCTGTTATTGGCTGGGTTTAATGCCACCCCAGC